CAAGACCATCAGCAACAAGACTGATTATTTCTCGATTTTTATTAATAATGTCTGAAAATGCCTTTATAAAAAATGTTTACGTCAAGGATTATCAATACAATATACACCTGATTGTAAATAGAAAGCAGGATGAGATGTTTTTTTGTTTAAAATCACTTCTTACACATGTACTGGGCGAAATCACTTTGTCCAAAGGAGGCGCCAAACTCAAAACAAACCAAAAGTGCCTTCCAGGATCTTTAAAGCTACAGGGAAGGAACATATATTTTGGATCAATCACCGACATTGGTAACCCATGTGAACATTACCTCTGTCTCTTTGCTCATCTTGTCCTGTTTGTGCCTATAAGTCTCTGGCAAAAAAATCGCATTATGCTTTTTAAAACTGTGAAACATATTTCTATCTTTGAATATTTTCCACAAAAATGCTGAACAAAAGGTTTTTTGGTGTCTGCATATTTACATTCAAAAGAATAAGAATCTCTGACTCATGCTTTCATGGAGGCATATGCTTCATATACATCTAAAGTCTATTCACTGGACCTTTAAGCAGGTCTAAATGAAAACTAAGTAAAAATTCAGGTCTTCTTAGTTGATAAGTTTTATTGATACTAGATATTTACATGTCTTATAATTTTGCATGATCAGGTGACCTGCCTGGTATTAAAAGTAAGTTGTTGTTTTTCTTTTTTAAAGATTTGTTGTTGTTGTTGTACTTCAATTTTATCTAAAAGATTCTTTAAGTTTTGTAAAGTTTTTGTTTTTGTTTTTGAGTGACTCAAATAAAACACAGGTCATAACTGTTGAATATGAGCCCTCTTTACCATGGCCCTTTGTACTTCTGCTTTACAATAGCCTACTTCACAGAGCTATCGGATAGCAATGTGACGTGTTCAGGCTGTGGTGCTGCGAGACCAGAGCTGCCTTTAGTGCTTAATAACCTGTCTGTGAGGCAGAGATTTTCAGAACAAAGTAGAGCCAACAGGGATCCCACTGCTGAAAATTCACCTTCTTTAAACTGGGAACATTTTGTGATGCTTTCTACTCCACATTAATAAACCAAAGCCCTGCAGCAGTTTCTCAAAAACTCATTAATGCACCAGATGCAGGCTGAGCCAGGTGCTGCTGAGTACAGCACACAGAAGATACTCCAAAACACTGTGTGTCCTATTATAATCTTTTGATTTTATTGTACTTCATAGCATGTCCTGCATTATGGTTATTAGCTGTTTTATCTCCAATAACAGAAAACAAAAACTAGATAGATTGATGTAAGAGCAGGGACGACAAAGAGGAACATTACTGTGGATTTTATTACTGAATAATCAACTCTTAATGGTTTTAGATGCTTAACAGTACTAACTTCTAACAATAAACTCAACTCACAGAACAATGCTGGATTCACAACATGATTTTCTCATGAAGCAATTTTAGAAATTTTGTGTAGAAATGAGACTGACGTCAAATTATGAAGAAAAAAAATTGTTCAGGAAACATTTGAAATATGTTCTATTTTTGAGTTTATATAAAAATGCACATTTATTTTTTATATTTTTGCTGCATCATGTTGGTCTTGCTTTTTGCGTCGTTCGTCAGTCTCTTGATATATTGGCACAATATTTTTGTCATATCTTTTCACATTGCTCCTATAGGCCACACCCCATCTATAAAACCAAGTGTCAATGTCTTGGCAGGCGTTCCGACCGACCGATCATTAGCACTGTTTGATGAACACCAGCACCACTGGTCAGATTATGGTGGTTTACATACTGTCGCCACAAGCATTTGCATTTATCTAAATGTTGTGAAATTAGGTCACTTTTTGGTCAATTTCAGAGTCTCTGACTGATCGTAGCTTCACTGTAAGCTTAGCAAAATTCTAATGCTAGCTAACATCAGCAAAACAGTAAGGAGATGTGGAAGGAGGCTAGAAGACTTTTAGTTGTCTACTGTGTATTTTGACTAACAATCTCTTGGTTTGACATGTTTTTTCTTGTTGTCGTTGTTTTTTTTTTCATTTAATAAAAACATTTAAAAGCATCAACCCTCTAGAGTCATTCTCTGTGATACATAGGCTATTGTCATATTTATTTTAATTTATGAGATTTTGAGGTTATATGTGTTACAATTGAAGGTTTATTTGAAATGTAAGCAAATAATAAGCTAAAAAAGACTTTATCAGAAATGAATGGGTGACATCACCGAGACTACATCCATCTTTTGTACAGTCTATGTTTTAAAAAGGAAGGTGCATGCTCAACCACATAAACTTTCTTCCATCATGTCTATCCAAGTACAGACGCAAGATACATAATGACGTCAAACAAAATAAGCCAAAAGCGTAGCACCATTTTGCTGGCTTAAAAAGAGGGTGAAAAAGAGGATCACGATTTGATCCATATATTTTTTTGTCTTATAAATTCCAATTGTGCCTTATTTGTATCAATATTTAAATGTATCGCAAGTTGTTACATCTCAAATCACTAATTGACAAACTGAGGTTGAGATCCTGTAGGTTTTATTGATGTTTCCTTATTCAGGCAAACATTTGCCCCCTCAGACTTGAGAAATGTGAGGGAGGCAGGATACAGCGACGGGAGATTCAGGCTAAAAAGGGCCAGCTGCCTCTGCAAATGCTGAAGCTGTTTTTGGAAACCTGAGAGGTGATTCATGCTGGCAAATTGATTCATTTCTTTGGCTGATAGCACTTTTTTTTTTGCCTTTGTGCCTATATGCTGTGATTGCTTTGAAAAGACCCTTCAAACAACAAGCCTTTTCTAAGCCAGGGCGGGTACACAATAATAGCAACATCTTACTTATGCAATCTGATTCAACATCACACATAGCAGTTTCAACAATCACCATGCAGTTAAATTTGCACCTTTCTAAACATCAAAATCCCTTTTTGTTGCAGGGTTTTGTATTGGATTGTGTTTGTGCTCCACAGGTGTTTACACAAGTGCGGCTGTTTTACACACTAATCGTGATGGGTTTTTGTTGGAATTGCAGCAGCGGTATATCTATATGGGGAGTTTGATGTGTTCAAAGCAGGTGTGTGTTTCTGCTTAAAGAAGATTAGTGGAAAAAGGGAAAAAAAGCTTTGATCAGCTTTTATCAGCAACAGGCAGTCCAAAGCAACAAACCAGACAGCAAGATTTTTAATTTATAAAAGCCCACCGTCTAACCTCCAGTCGACATCTCAGCTTGACTTCTGCACAGGAGATCTTACAAGCTGCTGGACTCCTTCACTTTCAGTCTGCACCCAGGGAAGCCAAACACATGCAAGAACTGCAGCAGTGGTGGAATCTGAGGGAGATGACGTATGTGGGTTTTCGTTTGAGATTTACACAAATGAATTCCTTGTTTCAGCAAAGGCCACATATGTCCAAGCTTCCTGTCGTCCTGCTGTCAAATCCTCTCATGTTCTTCATCACAGCCATTTATTGGGAGACTCACATGCAGTCCAAGAGGAATCAATCATTTTTAAATGCCAGAAATACAATGTTAGTTCCCTCAAAAAATGGAGCCCGTTCTGAAGCGGGTTCATTTCCATCTTGGTGGATTCTTATGGATAGATCCGAAACTAACCTTTTTGTTATTTTTGAACAGTAAGACAAAGAACAGCAGACTGCTTGACATGAAAGTGACAGACTTTCATACTCACTCGAATGCTCGTTCTCAATCTGCAGCTTGAGAGTTCTTAAAATCATATTATTGTCTGATAAACTGTGCAAATCACAATGTTAACAATTTCATAGAATGCAAAAACATTTAATGAATCACAAAAACATTTATTGAAAGGCAAAAATATTTTATAAAAAAACAAAACCCCAAAAACATTTGACGAAACAAACATTTAATGAAATGTCAAAATTAGGGCTGTCAGCATGAATGCATTAATCACACCATGATTAAGGTCTAATATAATATTAAAGCTTACATTTTTTTGTCCTGTGCTATTTTTTCCATTTTGGCACACGGTAGAATAAGAGTTGTTCTTTTCTGTAGTTAAGATTAATCGTAACTATTGATCGTCTGGAAAGTCCTCATATTCTTTCAAAATAAGGGCAGGTTTTTATCCAAACCGGAAGTAAAGTACAATTAGCTTCAGACTTTATAAAATACAAAATAAAAGCATAACAAAACTGTTATGAAGTCAAAAGAAATGGAAGTTTAAACATGCACTTAAAAATATGATTAAACGCTAAATTTATCATATGACTGCCCAAGCAAAAATAATTCACAAAACACAAAAAATATTGGATGAAATCCTTCTTCTCACTTACAAAGCTCTTAATGGTCACGCACCATATCAGAATGTAGGCCTGCTCGTGGGAACCTACATCTCTAGATGTACTATGGGAGGTAGAGCTTTCAGTTATCAGGACCCTCCCTTTGGAATCATCTACCAGTCAGGGTCCAGAGGGCATACACCCTCTGTTCTTTTAAGAAAAGGCTTGAAACTTTCCTTTTTGATTACTGGATTTTACTGGCATACACACACTGACACACCCCTCTCTCCCTCGCTGTATAATATGTTACAGAAACGTGTCATGTAAAGTGTATAGAGTGTACTTTGGCTGTCAGTAAATAATTTGTTTGTAGAATAAATATGTCCCCAATCTATGAGGAACTTGACTACATCTTCCTGTTGGACGGCGTTCAAACAGATAAATAACTGTTATTTGACTTTACAAAGCCTGATCTGTCTTTAAGTTTCAAATCTACATGTTTCCCTTCATAGCTGTGTAAGAGGAAATCTTCAACAGTCACGCACGTAAACTGGTTCATGGAAATGCATCAGCTGTGAAAAATTCCAGTGTCAATCCAATGCACATCCTGCACTGCAGGTTACAAACTTGGGGTCACAGCGAGTGTGATTTCAGCATAAGACCAATTTGTCTTACTGACAGCCCGACAGTGTGGTGAAATGAAAACACATCACACAGACACAGACACGCATAGAGAATATGAATGCAAGGGAAGACAAACAAAACAATCTATTAGACAAAAGTTTTTTTTAATTTTAACTAAAAAAAATATATATTTGCCCACTTCCTTCACCTGAGTCTACATGACTTAATTTACTGTCTACGTATGAGAGGTTTTCCAATGCAGAAAAGAAGTTCAGCAGCAAACACACTCTACTCACAGCTGTGTACCAATCTTCAAAAATACAGCAGTTTAAAAAATCAATCAAAAGGACAGTTGTCATCAGTAAATATACAAAAGAAAAGGATGATTTTGTTTGAAGGCATCATAAGATTCAATAAAACAACTAGCACATCTGTGGAGAAGGGAAGAGATCACAAACATTTTATACACAATTACAACAGCAGCTGAAAACCATGTACAAAAAAACACTGTGTGCTATAAAACACTTCCCATTAAGGTCAGTTAATTTAAAACAAAATTCAGTTATTTTCCACTCCACTCACACTCAACGCTCAATGACGCACAAAGGGGCCAACCTCATGCTACCTATCAATATTATTAACTTCCCCTCTTCAAACTAAATAACATAAATGGGACCCACAGACAGTTCACACTGCTACCTTGTATTAATATTCATTACCCTTTAGCCAGCAGATCACCAGTTGGATATTTTTCACAATTATCGGTTTGAACTCAGTCCCAATCGATTGTTTGCTTGCAGGACAAACAAGTCTCAGTTCCCTCAGTGGTGACCTTTGGTCCCCAAAGTGTGTTTTTTCATTCAAATGTATGGCATTGGTTATACAGAAGTGTATTAATTGAATTGAGCTGACAGAAAAAATTAAATGAAGATGGTTGTAAAAAGCATTACAGAATCTCTCAAACAAAAATGAGTGACTAAGGGCAGACGTTGAATGAAGAGCGATAAAAAGAAGAGCTCCCTGAATACATTAACCTGTCAGGAATCTTTTGACGGCTGTTTGCTGTTTGTGAACTTAACTCAGCTGGACATTTCGTAAATTACGCAGGTAGAATTTTGGACATCATGGAAAATAAACATTCAAGCACTTTAAACAGCTTAAACTGATTTCTTTTGGGCACTTGGATGCAGCAGACTTTTGATAAAATGACATGTTATCAGGTTTAAGTTTCATGTGGCAGACTGCGTACAGTTTTTATATTTACTTTCCCATCAGTTAAAAAATAAACCTTTATTAAGCAATATTTTCAGACTCCATCCCTAAGGAGGTTAAATATCTGTCTTTTAGGCTGCTCAACAAACCACGTTGTTTAACACCTGGTTGTCTACTGCAGAGAAGAGGAATAAGAAAAAAGAAAATAATAATTATTCATTACAATGAGCTGACAGATGCCTTCACTTCATAGAGTTGACTAAAGTTTTGCAAAACTGACATATTATACAAGCAGTAGTGATCCAGTTTTATAACAAATATTCATTATAGCCACTTCCATCTCCTTCGTCATGTACGTAATTAATCTGTCTGGGCAGTACATCAGTAGTGAACATATTTCAGGTTGTTGACATACCTCACTGTCAGGACTTTGGATATGACATGGGGGGGGGGGGCAGATAAGGATTCAGTGTGTTGCTTAATAAGGGCACTTGAGCAAAACAGTAACATGCCAAACACAAATTACAAACCGACCAAAACATACCTCCTTATTCAGTGTGCAGCTGCCTGATTATCAAACTTAAATATCTTTTCATAGAAAACTACGATTTCATGAGTAGGTGAGAGAAATAAATGGATAACAATAGAGGGAATTGTTCTTTAACCTTTGCAGACCTCTTGAACACAGGCTAGAAAATATGCATTCGTGTTCAAATATTCAAATATATAATCGTTTAAGGAATCTGGTTTCTTCATTTCCTTAAACACAATGCACTATAACCACGGATTCAAATTATAAACTGTTACCCAATCTCCCTGCGCCTTATTGATTAGGCCAAAACAATGTGTAGGTGAATACAGATAATATGTAAGAAATATGGCCAGTGTTAGATAACAGTAATCAATACGGATTTACGCTCTTAACAGGAGGGCAGTGTTTCTAAAATGAACTTTCTTTTATGAGACTTATCAAAGAGAGATGTTCTTCTGATTCATGATGTTTAATATAAACAAGTTGCAGCATAATGTAACTCATCTATTTAGCCATTTTCGCTACATAATACCAACTATTTGTTTTTACTGTGAAGGAGAATCTGTTCTACCTGAATGCATCTGGTGGGTTTACATAAACGTTGATTGTGTGTTTGTGACTGGATGGTGTACTCAAGCATGACCCCCTGTCCACTTGTAGAAGTCATTACTCCGTTAATTGCAGCACAGTACTTCAGTCACTCAGTCTTGTTGTTTCTCTCAGTCGCCCTAACATCTTTGTTAGGGATTGTTATGTTTCTACTTGAGGGAAAGAAGAGGACTGAGTGTGGTAGTGATGGTGATAAAGGTGAGTGCAAACGTGTCCCTTTTTTTCTTTACCTGCTTCTTGATTTAGACATGATGAGAGAGAAGATGAAGATGAGGATGAAGAACAGGCAATGGTCTGATCGCCATCCGACATTTCTTACGAGGAAAACAAGGCAGCATATCGGCCTTCTTCAGCGCTGAATTCACTTGAGTAAAGAGGAGACAAATTCACTGCTTTTGTCCAGTTTTTTTCCACACTGAGTAAAGGTTCAGATGACTCCATAGTCCCTGAGAGATTTGAGTAGCACTGTATCCTTGACGTCATTGAACACTGTGCGGATGTTGTTTGTGTCTGTGGCGCAGGTGAAGTGTGGGTACAGAGTCTTCCACTCCTCCCTCCTGTCACGATTGACTGCTTGCTGCTCGTACAGTTTACGGATGAAGTTCTTTGCATCCTCTGGGTCTCTCCTCTTACCTGTGACAGAGGTGAAAAGAAACATGAGTAACAGGAGAAGACGAAAAAATGGCAAAAGATTGCTTTGGGTGCAACTAGAGATATTAAATGAAGTCGACTGATCCATTTCTCCATTGAAAATAATTAAATCAGCAACTCCCTTGATCATTTTTACTTATAGCTTTTATATATTGCAAGGACATAGTTTCAGTGACATCACCCATTGGTTTCTTAAGAGGAGAAATAAAACCTAACAATGTCGGTTGCCATATTGGAAATGCTAACTCTTCCTTACTTTTGGTCAATCTCGTAACAGACAAAGCACCCACATGTCAGTCATATCAACCACACACCTGATTCAAGACTGATATCTCAGTTCACTATTAGGGGAGACAACAAACAGGACATTTTCTAAAGAGCAATTCCTGAAAGGGACACCAAAGTTACTATCAAAAGTAGAGCAACAAACTGGCATTAAATGTATATTGGGAAAACACTGATTCCTACTTTTAAACTATATGGAAATATTGAAAAGTTTATTAATTTAAGAATTGTACTGTACCAGCATGTTAAAAAACTTTAAAATAACTATATTAATAGTAATAATGGGCATTAACAGGCTCCTCAAGGATTTGTTAGTTCAACCAGACACACTTCATTTCAACTCAACTTCAACTTCTTCAGGAATTTTTCTTCAGGAATCAGAGGAGATCATAGAGAACTAAAACCAGTATGGTTTTGGTTCAAGAGGGAGTTCATAGCAGTTTTGAAGAAATTCATTGCTTCTCCCACATCCACATTCACATAATAACTTACTCACATAATAATGTTACTTACATAACCTTACTTTAAACCGTTTTGTATTCAGGTGTTTGGTGTAGTCTACACTAAAGTCAAACATCTTTCTATTTTGGCTTATTATTTTGTTTCCCCAGAATCAAATTAGATAATAGCATTTCCCCAGCAGAAACTGATTATTTAAGAAAACTAATAATTTCAAGTATTCATTAATAATTAATTAAAAATACTGTAAATCCTATATTTAAGTCCAACTGGAGTTGTTGCTTCTTAAATGGCACAATCACTTTTTTCAATTGACTTATTATTAAATAAACAAATCAAATGTTTCACTCTGCAATGTGTTTCAGTCTGCAGGGCAGATAACACCAGCAGCCTTTAAAAGTTGCTCCAGTAGCAGTAAGATGAGCAGCAAAGCAGCGAAAGCAGCATTAGCAGCAAAGAGCAGCCAGGTTGGGAACTCTTAAATTGACATTTAAGAGCTTGACCCTATGTGAGTCATTATTTTACACTGCTAATGCTGCTGGTAAAATACAGTCTCTGCACTGCAGACACACAAAAGATAATTGCTGGCAGTCACTAACTCCCACCACGCAGCCACATACACATATTTCACAAATTTACCCCAGAGGTTTGTGGGGTATAGTGCTTACGGGAAGCGAAGTATCTCTCTGTGGTTGCCAAGGGTAACAGAAGAAGAGAGGGTGGGGATGGGGGTTGTGGGGTGTCACAGGAGGTGGGGACTGTTAGGGCAAAGCTCGGCAGCCTTTCACATCAGGAGAGCGACAGCTGCATCATTAAGCACACCAAGCACCTGGAAGTGACTCATTTGCACGTGTATGTTTGTGTGTGCATGTGTGTGTGTGTGTTTACATAAATAGAGATATCTGATATAGCTGTAATCATTGCTGGCTTTGTGGGCACCAGGGGAGAAATGGAGGGAGAACCTTTCCACTTCAGACTGAGGGATGCATCACTTTTTCAAACATTATTTTGAAAATAATATTTAATTTTAATCTGGGTAGGTGGATGTGATGAGAAAGCTGCATGCAAAAAAATAACTTGCTGGAGGAAAACAACATCACAACCCCTTTCATCTCTGACATGATTGAGTCCACATTGTGACCCATCTGTGAGCAACAGGCTGAAATTGAGGTAGTTGAAATAGGCTATTGAATATGCTCTGCCCCATTGTTTCCTTTAAATACTTTTCTGTCTTATATCTAGTAATCGAAACCTCACTTTGAGCATCACCAAACAGATTTGGTATTGCAATTTCAGAACTGATTTAATATGACAATGTTTGCATCAATGCTAACATCCCAGCACATTACCAAAACTACAACCTCATATACTTGAGGTTGAGGTCCACTAATTGTTGAGCCAATAAAATGTCAAACAGGAGTTTACAGTCTCACCAGAGACTCCATAAAGCCTTTGGCCTTAGCATGACAAAATGCTAAACTGATGATGTTTTACAAGAAAACGTTTCCCATGAAAACATGTTTACTTAGTTCATCATCTTAGTTAACGATTTTAGCATGCTAACACCTGCACGCTAACGCAGGTCTGTACAGAATTTAAAAGAAAATTTAAAAATATTTCAGTCTAGAAGTGTTGAGGCTTGTTTTGATCCAGCCAAACTCACTCCAAACCAATGATGAAAGCAAATCACAAAATGAAAAACGTAGTTTGACAAAAAACTGCATCTACTAAATCTGTGATCAGAAATTTGATTAAGTCACTCTTGATGTTTTTATGTTCACTAAATCAAATTCCCTACTAATGCAGTTTGTCCAATTCATTTTATAAAAGCTCACTTTAAATTAAACAGGCACACACCGAGGTCCACATCTTACCACGGAAGCTGGGGAAGTATTTCTGCAGATCAGAGGTCTGGACTTTGTCAGCCAAGATGTCAGTCTTGTTGAGGAAGAGGATGATGGAGGTGTTGAGGAACCATGGAGAATGGATGGTGGTGTAAAACAGAGCCAGACTCTCATGCATCCGGTTCTGAAGAAGGAGACAAAATCAGATATGTGAGCCTGAAGCACTTTAGCTCAATACAGGGTGGATACTATTGTGGAGAATGGGATTTCAGAGATGACACTTTAAAGGATGATTTTCACTTGAAGAGAAACAGATAGCAAATGAACTTGCAGTCTGGTTAGTGCCCAGGGGTGTGTTTGTTTTAAAATGAGGTGTGGTCAGGTGAAAAGCTGCTGTGTTCCTATCTTGTTGATGCAGAAAATGACGGCTTAGACTACCTAAAGCCTGATCTGAAGTCTTAAGTCTGTGGCACAGTAAGTTCCTGATATTAGGAAGATGCATTAGTTCAATTGCGTATCTACTCCACAGTTTAATATCAGTACATTTGCTGATACGTTTAAATTGAGTTTTAATGGGATGGACGGCTGAGAGATAGAGAGCTGTTTCTGTTTCGTATCCAGGCTCTTCTCCGTGGGCGCTCGCTCCAACGTGCATGTCTAATACACACAGAAACACATGAAGCACACACTAACACGCTCTTGTGTAACAGAGAGTTGAATTTATAGTTAAGCTTCTAAATAACTATGAGTGCCACCAACAATGAAGTCAAAATATATTAGTACTGATTGTCCAGTGTCCATTACGCACCAATTAGAGAATGTAGCAAAGAATTCCTGCAGAGAAAATAAGTATATAAATGTTCACAGCCTGTCTGTATTAAATGTGGAGCTCACAGAACATTAGTTAACATAGATCCTGTCAGTGTGTCTGTAAATTTTAAAAGTTAATAAGAATACGCTTTTGTGCCTCATTTGGAAATATTCACTGCATCTTTTCTGGACATTTCTGATATTGTGGGAATAATTCAGTGTAATAAAAACTTAAATCCGCCAACAACATATTTCATACAGTGTCTTGTATGTGTTCTGTGTGTTCAAGGGCAAAATGAAAGCAGATAAGTTAGATGAGCTGGCAAGAGTTCTATCTCAGAATCAAAATTGAAATCTGCTGTGTAAATAGCAACGGCCTTCCTGCGGGCGCATCAGACTCTTAAAAGGAATTGGAACTGACACTCTGATTGGTTTGATTCATGCTACACCCAGAACACAACAATGTATAATCAAGCCACATAATCCATCCTCTTTGCGCTCTGCACCCAGATCGTGTGCGATGTAAATTCCAAAATGCGCCAAGCGGTTAGACAACGTGCTTTACGCCATCAAAATAGGACCCGAGATGTTAGAGATGGCAAGAAGGACTTTGGTGGCTGAGGATGAGGTGGTCCATTAAAGAGAGGAGGGAGGAGTGTATGGGGGGGGGGGGGGGGGGGGGGTCTGGAGCACATGGGCCACTGTGGAGGTTAATGAATGTGTTGGCAGACAGAAAAGTGGCTGAGAGAGATAAAGGGTTTAGTGACAGGATGAGAGGCAGGAGGAAAGGGAGGGTGGATTCTTGTGCTAGAGTGAAACCTGCTGGTGAACAAATGAAAAGACTGCTGTAATAGTGACTGTGATAATGTTCGGATGACAGGAACAGCAAAAGACGAATGTATGCATGGTGAGGTAGATATAGATAGATAATACTTACATTTTGCTAAACCAGCTATAAGGGGCATTCTACCGAATTAGTTCAAAGTGCAGTCCCATTACAAAAAAAAGATTTAACATAACAATTAAGTATTCAGACATGGATATTTAGTGAGATTATATCATGATCTATTTAAACCCAGGGCATTAAATGAGATAGTGATAAGCTAAATAAAAAAAAATATATAATTTATAGGGTACTTTCTATTGAGAAGTAGCTGCCCCCAATCCTGACCCCTAAATTTCAATTTATGTAAATACCACTTAAAACATTTTTTAGATTTGTTTCAATGGTGTAATTTTAAAGATCTTTATAATTAAGTTTAAACAAAGGTTGAAAGACTTAGATTTATTGTGGGTTTAATTTTTAAATTAAAAAACTATGCTCAAATAATCATGTCCCTTGTTTTCATGTCACTACCGAGACACAAGAGTTTTCGTGGCTTGGCTGAGCCTAGATTTAAGCCACAACCCTGAATTTTTGACCAGGAAGTGACATTGCATCCCTGTCCCCCATGGCTGCATGTTAAGCAGCTAAATCCCATAATTTTTTAACAAATGTGCTCCAAAGTCTGGAAATCAGTGTGTAACTTCAAAAATTGTCACTACCGAACACACATTCTCTTCAATTATGTAAACTTTTTGGGGTTTTATGCAAATTATTATGTTTCTATGGGTGTACACCTCTTCAAAGATGTGTTTGCTAGCCATGTGCTTGCTAGCATTCTTTAATTATGCTCAAAATAAGCTAGAATTGCCACTACCGAAACATATGGTCAAGTTCGGTATGGTTCGGTAGTGACATTATCATTTCGGTAGTGACAAAATGGAATGGTAAAGTAGTTAAATCTCATCATTTTGAAATAAATGTGTTCCAAAGTCTTAGAATCAGTGAGTTTCTATAAGTATCATCATTCCAATCATCTATTTACAGCAAATAAGCAATTGATAAGTAATATTTGTACTATATGGTCATGGATGAACATTTTTCTTCAAAAATAAATTATTTTATTGACCACTAAACATATGTGCTTGTAATATTCCCAACATCAGGCATGTTATAAGTTAAAATTAAGTAATAAGGTTGAAGGAATATGATAAAAGACTACAAAAAAAATACTGGTCACTACCGAAACACAAAAAAATATATATATTGAGTTATCAACTAAAATGTTATGATACTGATTGGTTAACTGTATGTTAACTCTGAAATCAATCTGATCAGCGTTTTACATTTTAGAAAGTAAATAAAAGTAAATTTGAAATTATAATTCTGCCATATGAATCAGTTTAAATGTAAAGCATATTATTTGCTGAATCTTGACCAATAGGTGGGAAAAGCCTGTTTTCATGTTAATAAAATAATGGTTTGAATAGAAGAAGAATAGAACTTTATTTGTCCACAAAGTGGAAAATTGTCTTTGGACAACATTCAAGCACAGCAGGAAACCAGGAGAGCACCTGTAGTCCTCGACAACATCACAGTCAGCATGGTTCGTGAATTTAAAATAATAATTTAGTATAATAATAAGCCAGAGTTTTAAGACATTTCATAAAGTTATAGGTTTAAAAACAGTAATTTCATAAAACAATGTGCAGTTAGAGTTGAGGGGTTCATTTTTTCCTTTATGAATTTAATCATTTTATTGCATTTGGTACAAATGATTTTTTATAAACATTTTTTGTGACTCTAGGCAGTCTGAATCGCCAACCTGATGGAAGCACTTGAACTGAGAGTGCAGTGGATGAATAATGGTTTGGGTTATCAAGATCATTTTAACTAGTCCCTGTATGCTCTGTCTATAAAACTTATATGAAAATGAAAAAGTTAATAATGTTCATTCCAGTTTCCCAGAGTCAAGGGTGCTTTAAAAAACTGTTTCTCTTTCTGATCATCAATTTAACTCCAGAATAGATTCAGTTTATTATCATGGAAATAATGTAAAGGAGGACAGCGTCACATCGAAGAAACTTACATCCGAGAAGTTTTTCTTATATATATAAAAAACATACGAAACAAAGATTAACAAATTAACAAAACTATGGTTGCATGTTTACGTTGTGCCCCACCTTTACTAATTGATGTTGTAAACTCCTTTGTTGTATTCGACACAACAACTCAACGGTCGGGCTGCCTTTCAGACGGACATTTTGTCTACTAGACAAACACATCGTCAAAGTTCTGAAAGGCCAAGTACACACACAGACACACACACCCACACTTGTTGACTTACTATGGTTTCTCTCTCCTCCAGAACCTGGTCGTACTCGCTGAGGGATGCCAGAAATATGAGGGAGGTGACATTTTCAAAGCAGTGAATCCATTTCCTACGCTCTGACTTCTGACCACCTACGTCCACAATCCTATCAAAGAAAGGAGGGAAGAGTTGAAAAGGGGTAAGAAAAAAACCCTACAGAAGTTTTTTTTTTGTCTTTTTAGTATTGACTATAAAACCTAATTTCCTACCAAAGCTCTGACAGCTCACAGTAATTCGTGTTATTGACGTCTATACAGAAGGGACATGGTTGCATGAATGACAGAATAATAATACCCTCAGATTCATGGTGCTGAAATAGAGACAAGACCAACACCAACATTGCAACTCTCCTAATGCGTACACACTGTTCTTACGACCACATGTGGCTCTCACATAGCTGTTAATGAGTCGAGGCTGCTTGTTCAGGAAGTAGACTGTACCAACACTGACAACATGTCATCTTTCTAATCAGACAGCATGGTCATGAATGAGCTGATTGAGAAATGTAACTAAATGGTTCTTGTTTTCATCAGAGCTCCTTTCTGAAATAATATTACATACGGAGGGTGTACTAATTACCAAGTAAAAAACAGAATTTTTACATGTTTTTAAAGAATTGAGATAAATCACTTCTTCATTGAAGGTTGTTTTGATCAGGAGCCAAACCTTGTAATTAAGGTGTCATTTACTTTGGGAACACAATGTTCTCTTTAAGTAAACATGGATTTTTTTCTGCTAAAGAAAAAAATAGCAACAGATGTTGGTAGCCCCATCATGCCAGGGGCTTTGTACAGATGACATGAGATATCTGATCCTAAGGAGTCCCGATAGCTGTGAGCGGACAAAGCCTTTCTTTTTTTTCACTGTGCAATGAATATTGTCTGTATTAGATTCACGCCTCTGACGGATACAAGAGCGGCCACCTTAGTGTGATGTTTTTTATGGTGAAGGAATAGTCATGGATGCCTGTTGTGGGGAATCGGACTCGCAGCACGTCCTGCTCTGTCGGGATGTACTCTGGGGAAGAGATGCGGTCCAGATTACTCATGTAGCTGAAAGACAAAAAATAAGATCAAGAAAGTTTTACAACAGTGCTGAAAGATAATCTTATCATCTCATCAAGCCACATCAATAAAAACAAAACTGTTGTAACACAAGACATATGAAAAGGAAAAACAATGTTTAAAAATACAAGGGAGTCCATATCAACCAGTGCACTGACTTCAGCTTTACAGCTCGTGTTGATATAAGCTGTCATTTGTTAATGTAGACTGCCTGTCTCTTATCGTACACACACAGTGATGATAGAGCTGCTAGGTAAACACAGAGCAGAGAATCAATGGAAAAGAAAGAAAACAAGAGACAGGCTGAGGCCAGTCTTTGTTCTCAGACATGTCTGAGGTTGAAGCTCACGCCTTCTGTCTATCGAATCGTTTCATGATGGTTTCAGTTTAATAAAGATGGTTAACGGCTCAAGAGACATTTGGCTGTTGTCCTCAAATACTCCTTGATCAACTGGTGGTTTCAACAACGGCTGGGAGCAGAACCGTCTGTAAAGCAGCAGCTCCCTCCAGTGGTCTCAGTACCAAGTACAAAGTATAACTGAATTCTAATCACTGCAGCGATAAACATGGATGTGAGGAGGAGTGGGCAAAAAAAACATCTCAAAAATAAAATGTTGAAAAAATAACCGGTGAAAATAATATGGAATATAATCAAATATAAGATATTTTAACACTGAGATACTTTCTTTTATTTAAAGTAAATTATGACGGATTAATCATAAAAAGTTATTGTATTTGAGACACAAAGCTTCTCCAGCCCTACTTATTTCTCTCTTTCAATAGGATTGTCCAATAAGACAAGCATGTAACAGCATGTGACAGCCCTATTTGTATTGCGTCCTCCTGTTAATTTTGGTACAAAGGTCAGGTATGACATTAACAAACATTACTACAATATGTCACCTACATGTTCTCCTGTTATCCATTAGCCAGGCTATGGGCTATAAATTTTCATTACCATTTATTGAATCCTCGCTTATTTCACAGATTGAAAGATCAATCAGTGAAGACAAATATTATATGATCAAAATGAAATGGTAGTTGCAGATCTAGTTTGATAACTGTACAGTGAAAACAACCTCTGAATCCACTAAGATGAAAGGAGATATGATGCCCTGTCTTGCGAAATATCTTTCGACAAGCTGCCATAAATTTGGCAGCTTGTCATTGTGAGATCATATGATAAGCTCTGATTCTCCACCCTGACACCGGGTGTAGCTGCAACACAGATACTCACTACTCTGTGGAGTCTAGGAGTTGGTACTCGCAGCGGCGGTTATAACAGATACGGACGCCTGAGTCTGCCCAGAGGCGGCGAATTGCGTCCACGTAACCCCGGTCCAGCTGGGAGATCTGCACTGTGTGTACATCCTGCAGCCACTTGGCGTAGATCTGAAAGAAAGAGAGAGACTGTTAAGGACTTTGTGATTTCGAAATCTTGTTGTCATCCTACTAAAGAAATTGCCTAATACACCAGAGTGAAGACATGTTGTCAGGGGTAGTCTCTGTGTTCCTTCAACATCGGCCTTATTCAAGGATCACTGAGTTCACTAGTTCTATTTATAGACTTCAACATGCTGTGTGTGTGTTTCTGTCCTTTTGATGCCTATTGTTTAATGTGGGCATAATCCCAAAACTAGCTGCAAACCTGCATTTACTTGCCTTTTTTTCTATGGGGGTGTACTTTGTTGTTTTTTATTTTGGTTTAGGTTACATTAGATATGGGTCTACCTCATTCTCTGGGTTTGAGTAGGGGATTTTGAGTGTGGTCATGGCTCCTGTCATGGCCTTCATGGCTGTGAAAATGTTCTGGAAGATGCATTTGGCAAAGGCCCTCCTCTCCTCGTCTGAGAAGCCTCGTCCGTGGATAATCCTCATCTGACGGATGAAGGTTGTTTTGCCGCTCTCCCCAGTTCCTGAATTCAAAAGTGTTGAAATAACAGTCATTGAAATGCATCATATTAAGTAGGACTGTATAAACAGGACAACACCTGCGACTACACCGGCATCCACTGTACAAAGGTTCTGTTTTTAATCTCTCCTGTTTGTTGATTTGAGACTGTCTTCATAGGTTACCTCCACATTTTCCAACTCATGAAGGTAAGCTGAAACGAAAACTCTAATGTGCTAGTAAGTATGAATGACCTTGTGTGAATAAGTATTTACAGTTTATAGAAACAAAGTCATCGAGCTCACAGAGGTGAAAATGTTTGTCTGGAATGAGGAAAGAAGCAATGAAACAAATACGTTTAGATTCCAGTTTTTAATGGGCTAATTCTTTAAGCTTCTCTCTGCTTATTGCCTTGTAAAAAGACCCAATTTTTTATGGCTTTTGTTCAGTCTTAGCACTCTTACCAGCATCGTTACCACCAGCACCAGCCAGACAAAAATCTCTGACAGTCCATGCACTACATACACCCAGCAACCAAAAAAAGACAAATGTCCCATTCTCTTAAGTATTAGCACATTACAACTTATATTACCTGGGGACCTCTTGTGATCTAGAAATCTATCTCCAAAATCACAAGTGAATGCTCTATTTTACTTGAATTTACTGACATACTGTAGGTAGGCTTAACCCTGGAAATGAAGGCTCTGCAGGTTTGTTACTTCTGGGCAACTGTTTCCCTCTTACACCATTACTAACAGGCAAACATATTTTGTAATTCCAACTCAACGTTTTTTAGATTTCAATCCTCTGATGAATTTATGCTTGCTCTGACTGCAAATCGGACCAGACTTTGTGCCCTAGCTTCAAAAATAAACGTGATTTATGTTCTTTGATGGCCTCATTAAATCAATATCAAACTTGACACTTTAAAGCTTTCTTTAGTCTTCTCAAGTCGTGAGTTGGTTGCTTAAGAGTGCTGGTTTTATAAACAGTCCTGTTCCTGTATATGAGCACTTGTTTTCTGTCATTTTTAACATAGAAAGAGGAAGTTAGATGGGGCAATAATATGTTCACAGTTTCATTGCAGGACAAGCTCAACAAATGGCAAACTTGTTAGATAAAAGGTAAATAGTCTTTCACTCAATATTGTATTTCCAGAAAGTTTTTTAATGGTGGTCTTTGTTCAAGACTGAGTTGCCCACCTTAAAAAATAAATGTATTAATTAATTACTGCAGGAAAATGACTAGATACATGTTTAATGAGAAAAAGACTTATTAGTACACCAAAATAAAATAAATAGATTGGGTATAATAAATAAGAAATCCCAATATGAAGAAGTCAAAAAGAGACATTTAGTTTACCACATGTGGCAAATAAAAGCCAAGTTAAGAGACATACATCAAGGGAAGGCTCAAATCACTCATTTTGGGCTTTATATGTGAATTTATTTGCAAACAAATGTTCTATATTGTTTCTTCCTGCTTACAACTCCATTAAATCCAAAGTGATCAAACCAGCTGTAAAGTGTGCCTGGTGCCAGTCTGGTTTCCAGGTATAACCAAACCCAAACTGGCCCATTCTTTACATACTCACTCAGTGACACATGCTTTACATAGTTTTCTTTCTTGGCTGCAGGCTACCAAACAGGCCAAGCAGTTTTGATCTGTATGCAGGGTGTTTCTTTTTTGATTCCATTGTATGTCAAAGACAATGTGTAATTTAAATTTGCTTTATATATATATATATATATTTGTGTATGTAGTGCCATTATAGTGCTATTATAGTGCCATCCTTAATGTAACCAAGAGGCATTCAGCAGTGTGAGGTAGTGTATGTGTGCACTTACTGACCTAATAGGAGGATTTTAATTTCCCTTCTCTCCTTCTTCTTCTGCTGCTTGAGGATCCTCTTAATTTCTTTGTCCACAGCGATGGTCCTCTTCTCCTCCTCGGACAAACAGCAGAGACAGGTGCGGCGAAACACCGTCCAGCAGCCCGCCATGGCCTCAAAACCACTGAAAAGACAATGTTAATGAATAATCTGTTATTATAAGGCGATAAGCACTGACAATGAAGTTGTTGTTAAATTGTCCGGTGTCCATTTGATACCCCATTTCACTCCAGCAGATTAAACCTGCCTCAATCCTGGTTTCCGGATTATTTTTAAATGGTAATAGGTCAGACCTTTAAAGGCTCTATAAGCCTACAATTCAACGGTGTAGCAGGAGCTCTGCCTGTTAAAGTAACTTACTTAACCAGTAGTCTATTTATTTTTTAAATAACCCACGCTGCGGTTACACTTAAAGGACGTAGCCCTTAACATGAGTTTAAAAGTTATAAGCAGAAACAATACGGCGCCTTACCTCAAACCAGTCCGTCACTCTCCCTGAAAACGAGCACTGATTGCGTCTCGAGGTCCATTTCCCACTGGGCCCCCTTCACCACTGCACCTGCGGCGAACAGATAGTAGCTCCTGTTAATAAAGCACTCTAACAGCTTCATTAGCCCACTGACACGGAGTCGACACACTTTTTATTTCTATTTTTTTTTCTTTTTTTTTTTTCCAAAAGCTAACACGAAACAACCTGCAGCTCGGGAAAGTCCGCCGCGCCTACAGAGGAATGTGGTCTGTGGTCCGCTGGAAACTCTCTGAAACAGGAACGCGCTCCGTGCGAGAGAGCGGCTCACGAGCGCACGATGTACCGGAAGAGAGACGATGTAAGTACAAAATAAGAGCATGCTTCTGCTATTTTACACGATTACTGATATTGCAAATATCTTACTAGTGCTGCTGGATTTTACCAAATGGTAAACAATTTCCTTTTACTTGTTATAAAAGATCAAATATAGTTTAATTAAATAGAAACTAAAAATGTGTAGCCTTATTTTTAAAAGTCTACAGTTATAAGAGGCTACACATTTACTTCAGTTAATGATGCCCATAAACGTACAGATACAAACTTATAAAGCCCAATATTTATAATTTGCATTGAAAAACATTTAGGCCAACATGTATAAAGGGTAATTATTTTAGTGCCTTCTATTTCAAACTTATGTTGCAATTTTTTAAAATATAATTTCCAAAAGTGAAGGGTAGGCCTAGTTGCACTTGAATTGACAAGTATACTAATTTAAATACTCTCACACATTTAGGCTATGCATTGTTTTTTTTATTAATTCTCAAATATAAAACTCAAATTTTTTTACTCACGGTTAAGTTTATGTATAGCCTGATATTTATGATTGACTTTAACAGATCATTTTTAAATACTCATACAGAAAATAATTAAATGCACCTTCATCCAAAAAATACTAGCACACTGTTCAGAATCCCACAGCTCTACACAATATTGAACAGAATTGTTGTTATTTAAATGTGTTGTCCTATATGTGACATGAATAGCATTGGTAGCTAAAAACATAAACTCTTCCAAATAAAAGACTTATTCACAGCAAAAACGTTATAGGCTATAATTTTCCATCAGCTATAAGGGAAAATTACCAGCTACAGCATTGTTAATTATATTGTCACCAAAGGTGCAGTGTTCTTAAGGCAACAAATCCATACAGTGCAGTATGGATTTAGCTTGAAATAGTTTTCAGCCCTACCAAACATGATTCATCATCATTGGTATTAACCACTCTTAAGGTACATTAATCCAAAGTAAATAAACTTTGCACAAGTCTATCTTCTGACGTTGACAGATATGACAGAATGAATACACAATGCAAGGTCAGCTAACACCTCTGCCTGCAGTGTTGTGAGCATTAAGCCAAAGTCTTTGACTGTTTGAGGACATTAAACAATGTAATGACTGGCCCATGTTTTCTTTGATGTTTGACATTAAAACTTCAGTGTATGACACTATAGATTTGCTCTGTATTTCTCACATTTACAGAACTCTTAATTTCACATTGATCTTGTTGTTGGTAATTAATTAATGATAAGATAAGATAATAGTTAAAATGAACAACATAGCCAGCTGATGATTATCAAGTCAGGTTGTCAAGGAAGAATAGGAAGTTTGTACTCTTCTAATGGAGTTATAGGCTCCATTGGAATAGTACAAACTCTGCATGAGTATAGGGCTGGTCAGAAAGCAGCATTATTTTGAAATGCTAAAACTGGAAGTTGATACTCTCTTAATCTGTGTAGTTTTACAATGACAGGTGTATGAATGAGTCCAGATTAAGTTTCGGCTGCTTGTTTCGGCTGCTGCACAGGCTCCACTGCTTTATGTTTCATCTGAGCTGGAGTTCATCAGGGACAGACGGCAGATTTACTTTCATATAAGCTGAAAGCTGTCAAAGGAATATTTCTGTCCTTTGTGTAAAATATGCAAAGTAGGTAATCCATAGTTGACCTTCAATTCATATTTGTATTACCATTCCATCAGATTTTAAAGAAAAATAAGATCATACCAATACTACAATAATACACAAGGAGCTTTATACAAAAGTCCCATCAGGCTCATCAGGCTATAACAAACCTACAAAAGTTCCTGTAGAGATCTTTAAGACTGTCAGAGTGATTTGTCATACTGCTGCAGTCTATGAATCACTTTGTAAGTGTTTTCAAAGCAAAGATGAACTGAACAACAGGTATTTTGTCACTCCTCCTTGGCTGCGCTTTGTATGTCAATCTTTTGTCTCAGCTAGCAGAACCGGTTGGCCTGGGTTTTCTGTCTCACATATTGAGATCACTGGAGCTATGTGTTGCCATGGAAACATGGTAGGTCATAAGAGCGGGAGGTGTGTGGGGTCTTGTTGGTGTTGTATTGTAAATGTATGAAGATTTAGAAACGTATTTCATGTGTATCATGTAGAGTGTAGGCTGCACATGATGCTCTTTGTTTACAGAGGAGTGAATCCTGCAAGTGAACAAGCAGGCCATAGCCATACCTGAAATGTGTTTTTGTCTTGTGTTTTGGGGTTGTTTTTTTTCTGTGAGATAATTAGGTTACACATAAGGACACGTTTTACAAGAGTAAATGGATTAAAAATTGATAGAATATTAAATATAATATAAATGTTTTCCATTGTTTTGTAATTTTACCCACAAATATGTGATTAATGACAATATAAATCGAGATGAAACTGAGGTTAGAAAAGAAGGAGAGAAAAAGAAGTTAGAGTGGTGGGGAAGCCTTGCAGAGCAAGTTGGCGTGGGTTTATGGTAACAGGATTATACCTGCCTAATCTTTATAAAATCAAAAGTTGGACGTCAGTATTGTTCACCTGGAGGCATAGGTAAATTTGAATCTCCAAGAATTATAAAACAACCTTTAGAGTTGAAAAGTATGTATGATGAATCTTCTGCTGTAGGAAACAGATTTTGATCTGCTCAAGTCTCTGTATTCTTCCGCTTAATAGTTACAGTACAAGTTTGTTTCATGGATTAATTTACTTAATCAAGTTTGTGCAAATGTAAAACATCTCATAGAGTTACAGAAAATAACAAAGTCATTATATGAAGCGTAGTCTTTTGTTTTAATATTATATTTTAAATTTGATAAGGAGGATTGATTGTTAAGAAAAATATGCACCAAGTGAAAACAAAAAAAAAAGAAGCACCAGATGCAAACACCTCCAAGGAAACAACGATATTTTGCTTTGCATATCCGCATTAGACAACTGAAAGTTTCAGAAACCGATTTCCAGTCACAAAAACTGAAAAAGACAGAAAACCACAGACAAGTGTGCAGTTAGACACATATCAACAAACCATTGTTGACAGACAGACTACAGTTCAGATGTGAACAAGACAAAAATGTAATTTCTTCTATCCCAAAATATGTTAACTTTAAGGTGACACCAACCTACCACCTAGGGTTGTAAAGAAAAGGACATTTACAGAACAACTGAAAAATAAAGGTGAACCTGGCAAGTATATTCATCTGAAGTACTTCTGCCCTCTCCCACAAAGATATGGGTGCATCTGTCCATCTCTGTTTAAGAGTCTGAGGCCATTCAACTAAAAATTGTATCAATTGGAGATCTTGATATTAACTTCAAGATATTTTATGCCCTGCCTCCATACATCAGGAGTTGACATCAGATGTCCAGGGAATGTGAGATTGTTTAGAGGAATAGCCTCGCACGAAGACCATTTGATTTTCTAGAACAGACCAAAATCACAGATGAGTTTAAGGAGATGTGGGACTGACTTATCTGGATGGGACAAAGTCAATGACATAGCATACGCCTAAAGGTTAACTTTTAAATCATGATTAAAAAGTGGGATACCTATTATATTTTTAATCAGCCCTGTGTGCTAGCATTTTCCCAGCTTTATCTCCAGATTCAAAATTATTATTTTTTATATAAGGCAAACTGGGTTTTCTCATGTAGAACAAGTATCTATTTTAAGCTCTTTCATATTATTCAGATAATCAAACCTTATCTGGAAAGAGTCATTGATGCTCACCACCTGCACCAAAAGTTCAGTCATGCAAGGAGGAGAACCCATGCACAGAATAAAAAATGATTTATTGAAGCAAAAGACTAAACCAAGCCTTGGTGTTGGTGCAGGTGCAGGTGTCAAAATATTCTATGAGAAATCCAACTTGAAATCTAACTTACAGGGAAAAACTATAGAGGAGCCACAAGGGGAAATCCACACAATAAAAGACTCATATAAACATTGTCCATTGAGCAAAATACAGAGTAAAATATTACAAAGTCCATCAAGGAGAAAAATCACCAAAGAACCACAAAGAAAATCAATTTGGAACCAGAGGCGCAGGATGAGTTGGATCATAGGGTCGGACATATGATAGCTTATATGACACAGAACACAGCACGCAACGAGACTAAACACACAAGGCAATCAAACACAGGTGAGACCAACAAGACACAAGTGAGATGAATAAAAAAAAAAAAAACAAGGGAAATTGAACAGGAGGGAAACCCAATAAAGCAATAAGTAAAACTAGACATGGAATATTAGGGGCAGAACTACAAAATAAAACAAGAAAAACGCTAAAATAAAGTCAGAAAAAGTCGACAAAAATACACACAGGGAAATTAGAAACACACAGTACTGTAAATGACAAAATAAACCAGGAAATCATACCTTAACAATAAAACAAGGAAAATACAAACTAAACCAGAATAAATGATGACACCGACCTACTCCTCTTCTTTCTTCCTTGCTTTCTGCTACCTAAAAGACATTGTAAAAGACAAGTAATTATTATTTAAGTACTAAAATAAATAATAATAACTTACTTAAGTCCTCTCATATCCTCAATCGATGGAATATTGGACTCCCTGTCCTTTGGACCTCTTACAGACCATTTCCTCTTTATGCTGCAATCATCAACTCCTCTCTGTCAAGGTGTGTGTTCCCCACTGCATCCAAGCAAGCTCGGGTCACCCCACTGCTCCAAAAAACCACCCTAAACCATAGACTGTAAATATTAGTTGCCCTGAATGTTCTCAACTGTGTTGTTGGGAATGCTGGAACAAACCTTGAACATGTGTTTTTCATTTGATGGGGACATTGGCTTGGTTTTGTTTTAATCTGAACTTTGGTCCACATGACAAGCCCATGTTAAAAACTACAGACCGTTTTCACTTGCCCTTGATAAAGTCTTTGAGTTCTTGTCCAAAAACAATCTGTTTGTCTCAAATCTTTCTGGCTTTAAGTGATAGACCCTGTGAAAAATCAGGAAGATCAGACCCTACATGTCAGAACATGCTACACAGCTCCTGGTACGCAGGCTCTCGTGATATCATGCATTGACTTTGCAACTCTTTGCTGACAGGTATTCCTGCATGCACAATCAAACCCCTGCAGATGATCCAAAACACAGCAGCCCGACTGGTCTTCAACTTACCCATCAACAACACGTCACTCGGCTGTTCATCTGGCTCACAGTTACTGCTCTCATCAAATGTAATACCATGCTGCTTGCATACAAAACAGCAACAACAATGGCTCCTCCTTAAACTCTCTCATCCAGGTCTACAGTCCCTCCTGCCCACTACACTCTTCCAACAAAACTTGATCCAATCTTCACAACAGGGCCCAAAGTCTTGAGCTAGACTCTTCACCTCTGCTGCCGTCCAATGGTGGAACAAATTACCAAACTCCATTGGATCTGCAGAGTCCCTTTCAACCTTTAAGAAAAAACTAAAGACCCAGCTCTTTATTGAACACCTCAGAGGACATATTATCCCCCTTTTCCACCTTTTCAAACAGTCCCCTGTGGTCTAAATGAAACATCTGTGCTGTGCTTTGGTCAAAATATAACATGAATCAAGCACCAGAGGAGGTTTGTTACCCTGTATAAACCAGCTCTCTCAGAACGCTCTGTAATGGTGTGTGTCTTTTTAAATGCAATGAGCCCCCCCTGAGTTTTCCCGGTTTACATCACTCCTCTGTAGCGAGAATAAAAATGGCGGACCTGCGTAAAACTTTTGTTCTAGGGTTGGGGTGGAATCCATGGGTGGAGATACCAGGGGGTGGGAGGGTATTTTACCAGAATCCAACTTGTGACATCTCAAGTTGAGCAAATTTGAAACGGACCCCTTTTTCTCTGTGTTGTAAGATTTATGCAGATTACGAACAAAGGACTGGATGGTTTTATTTCACATTTTGTGGGTCAGTAGACTCTCAGGTTACCCAAATATATGTTCAAAAACACTGTCAAAGTGGATTTTTCATAATATGTCCCCTTTAGGCAAGGCAAGTTTATTTATATAGCACATTTCAACAACAAGGCAATTCAAAGTGCTTCACACAAGACATCAAAAGCATCATGACACAGGAAAGAAAAGAAACATTAAAATAGACAATTTAAAAAAATCCCTGAAATTATTAAATCTCAAAATATGTTCAAATAAAAATAATTCAAATGAAATTAATTGAAATAAATAAAGTAAAAATATAAAAAGAGTTCAAAGTTACAGTGCAGAGTGCAGTACAGAGTTTTCTGGGAGTTTGTTCCAGATATAAGGAGCACAGAAACTGAACGCTGCTTCTCCATGTTTGGTTCTGACTCTGGGGACAGAGAGCAGACCTGTCCCAGACGTTCTTGAGCAGTCTGGATGATTCGTAATTAATCAGGAGGTCACTAATGTATTTTGGCCCTAAACCTTTAAGCGCTTTATAAACCAGCAGCAGGATTTTAAAGTCTATTCTCTGACAGAACTGGACTGATGTGATCCATTTTCTTTAATGGGACATATTATGATGGGACTGACAATGATAATGATGATTAAATGGACGACAACGGTGATGATATTTAGGATGGTGTTGATGCTGATAAGAATTCTGTTGATGTTGATGATGATGACAATATATAGCCTATATTTGTAAAACACCACGCTTACAGAGTTCGGTTAAAAGATGTAGCCAAATACAGAGAGGTAAACATGAGCCTGCATGTCCCAACTTTTTGAAATGTGTTGATGGCATCAAATTAAAAATTGATATATGTTGGCTATTTCAGGAGACGTTATAAATATAGGCTACAAAAAGGCAAAAATGTTTTATTAACCTAATATAGGTTAATAAAGTGGTTATCACATTTAAAAAAAAAAACGATTGAACAGATGATCAGATAACTGCACTCCATAAGATCTAGTAATCTTTGCACAACTTATCAAACAAAAATGACCTTTTTGTGTGAGAGATCAATTTCATAACACCCGCCCCCTGTCATCCTTCCCGCTCTCCTTTTCTGGCTGCTCATGTCTTCTTCCCTCTGCAAAAAAATGCAAACAATGAGAATTTTAGTTTGACTTTTAAAAATTAGTTGAATAAGTTGTAAAAAAATTTAGATTTTTTTTAAATTATGACTTAAAGTACGAAACCGGCCTTTGTCATAAGAAAGCCTGGAATTATACAATAATTTCATGCTGCGCATGCGTAAAGCAGACACCGTAGCTGATCTGTTGACAAATATCGGGGGAGGGACCACTGCGGCGTAAGTAGATCTTTGTTCAGAGTGGAATATATTCAACAAAATGTGGCTCCCAGTAGATAGCTCAGCTGTTGTGACTTGTAAGACTCTATCCTTGTGCTTTTACTGACAATGTCATCGCTAGCTCGTGGAAAGTGCTTTGTTTAACAGCTGTAACAACCGCTGGGGCCGATAAAGTGATGTAGCAGAAAGGAAGAGGTCTCTGTCAAGGTAGCTATAATGAAAAACGTCGTTTCCGGTGCGAATCTCCAAAACAATGTACGTGTTAGGATACTTTTTTGATTGTACCTGAGCGAACGAAGTTTAAAAAAAAAGACCAGGGCGTAATATTAATTTTGAGTTAAGTACGGGTCGATCGAGCTAATTCGTTTTTACATCACGCGTATGAGCGACAACCTGATTTTCTTTGATGCACTTTTATTGTGAAGGCAAAGACGGTCAGTATCCGGTGTCTCCCGTGTTAAATGTTCAGCTTGACTCGGATCGAGCAGCCTCAAAGCTAGCTGCAAAGCACCGTTTTCTGTCACAGTTTCAGCCTTAAACTTTGCTCTGGGCTTTATAGTGGTTCTAAGTCATACAGTTGGTTAATATTCTTAAGTTACAAATAAGGTCTGTCGCGTATTTCTGTCCAACTTAATGAACTTGTTTCACAGTCTGGCTGTGGGAGAGATTGAGGGCGGTCTCCTCGTCCAAGACTGTCGACAGAAATGAAGAGGTGAGTGGGACTCATTGACTGAAAATGCGCCATTGTCAATTCAATGCAAAAATACGATGACAGACTAGGCTCTAAACCTGCTGATTAGTTCGTTTTTCAATAGCAAATATTCAATTAAACCACAAGATGACTCGTCTTTTGTATTTCAATGTGTGCAGCCAACAGAAAAGCCCTGAACCAGATGGGAGTGTAACAGTCAACGAGGAAGGTAAAACTGCAGCATAACAACATCTGTATTTTATCATTTAGTCAAATTTAGCAAGATTTTTTACTTATGATAAATATGTCTTCTATATTTAATACAATACACCAGAGCCCTTACATTTCCAGAATACCATCATTTAACTATATTTTTCTTTAAAAAAAAAAAAAAAAAAAAACTGTAAAGAAATGTTTACATGCACTACTGGGAACACTGGTAAAGTTGTATCATCTGAGGGCATTGTTTGTATTTATTTTACTGATTTTTAATTCATGCATTGAAATTATATTAGGTGTGTTTTATACTGTGCTTTGTATTTCATGTCTTTTGTATCGTCTTATCTGGACACTGGGTCTGGAATACAGTTTTTATTGATTGATTGAATACTACATATGAGTAGCGATTGAAAGACCTTTTTTAAAATGCAAGAAATATGTACGCCAGATTAAGGTAGTGCTGTTGGTATACGCACAAGCTTATCATACTTGTCTACATGTTTTTTTAGCTAACTTTTTTGACTCTTTTAAGGGTCAGTGGCCACAGCAGAGGACCCGGCAGCTATTGCCACCATTCAGTCTGCTGCTACCTTTACCGACCAACCCATCAAATATCTCTTCAAGACAGAAGGAGCAGGCGGCCAGGTACGGATGAGTAATACCAAAACCTTGTGGTCGTTTTAGTTGACCTGAAATGTGTTGCTTAAAATCTGGTGGGTCATTATAGTTTTTTTTTTTTAAACTAACAGGGCCTTAAGCTCACACATTCACTATATATTACAGTTAACCAATTATATGTCCACGTAAATCTCAAGGATTAAACTTTTATTGAAGTCAAAGCAAGTGTAAAGCACCTTTTTGGAAAACAGGAAAATCAAAGTGCCTTGCTGATATTAAGAAAACGTGAAAATTGCGCCATAAAGACAATAAAAACACAATATTGGTCATGTCTGAATGATGAAGTTTTGACCTCTCTCTTTAACGGTGTGTCCAAGGTGACCTACAGAGTGATCCAGGTGTCAGACGGCCAGCTGGAGGGTCAGACAGATGGATCGGCAGCAGTCAGCCTGGTTACTGGTTTCCCTGCAAATACACAGACGGTCACACAGGTGAGAACAACACTGACCCCACTGTATGACTGGAGTTTAGAAAAGAACAGAAGAGGTAAGTAACTTTTAATGTATGTAGTGTTAACTACCTTTTATTTTTGATTCTTTTATGTTTAAAATACTCAATGTTTGAGGAGACATTCTTAGTTTAGAGTCTTTAAATCTTTTATAATCACTTATACTTAAAGTTTTCTTTAGTTTTATTTTACTGTTGAATACATAAAGATCATCACTTCTTATAGCTGGCTCATCTGATTAACAATGTTGATTTTCTATACATATTGAAAACCTGTTCTGGTTAATTTAAGTTGCTACTCAGTGGTCTAAGATTTTAACTATGAAGTATTGTTTTCGATGTGTTACAGGTTAAGTTACATTTCTCTGGTAACAAGCTTTAAAGTAGACCATTTGCTGCATATTTTTGTTAATTTGACCTTTTTAACCTTTTCTGTTCATAACTGCAGCATCAACAGTCTTCACAGAAGCTTGTGGATTTCAATGTTCTTGATTCATTGAATGTCTTACTTTCCGTTTGTACCTGCTGAACAGTGCAAAACCTAAAATGGAGTGAATATGTGTTTGGTGTCAGGCCGTGTTTTCCCAGTCTGATGGGTTGGAGGGAGACAGCAGCGCAGAGACACAGTACGCCTACTATCCCGCCACCATCGCAGACGCCACCACTGGCACCATGGTGACCACAGTGCAGGCCTCTGATACGTTGCTGGGCCAGACCACACCCACAGGTATTCACTGCCATAAGGCCTGGCGATGACAAACAATGTAATTGCTAAGGCTCCTTCATTTTACACTGGCATTGTAAAATTCAAGTTACAGATTTGATAGTGGAGTCAAAGGAGAGTGTTGCTATTTAATCACCTTTTAAGATTAAAGATTCATGGTCTTTATTTGTCACATGTTCCCTGAGCAGTGAAGGGCACTGACTGCAAGGCTATGCATCATTTCTTTAAAAGACACATTCATATCGGGAAACTTACATGAAACTATGAAATCCAATTAAAAAAAAACATAAATTTACAAAAATATAAAAGTGTAAAGTCTCAGAGTGCAGAGTGTGCGAGTGTTAACAGAAACTGTTCTACAGTGGGTAATGTGCATGAGGTGCCATGGTTTGACCTGGGCCCTATTTTAGGAACTTAAATCATTGCTGTTCAACCTGGGGTCCAACCCCCCCCCCCCCCCCCCCCAAGCAGAGGCACCAAAGATCTCATGGGGGAGTGTAAGGCTTTGTCCGCTATGACATTGTCCAGATTAGATTTTAACAAAAACTGTGATTACACATCTACTTGATAGTTTAGACAAAGGTCGCTTTTTGAAAGACCATTTGTGAAGGCCTATTGAATTTTAAAAGAAAGAAATATAATGCTTGTACCAGAAAAGAGACATTTATCAATGAAAACACTTAACTATGATATTACATTTACATTTTGACAGCAATGTATCACTTTTTTATTCGTGGGGGGGAGGGGGGGGGATTCAAGTGTTGTACAAGGTAAACATACTCTTTCATTTTTGGGGGCGTTGAAAAAAGTTAATGTTATGGCTGTTTTTGAATAATTTAAGCATCATGTGTGTCTCTACTTTTGAAAAACAATACAAGCATGTCATTTGCATGTAAGCACATTTAGTGGAAGTACTTTGGTCAGGCCTGCAGAGATTACATGCAGTGTTTTCAGCCTGTGTGTAGCTAGCAGTCAAAAGCATTTTATATCTCCAATAGCATAAAGGCAGTGGGAGAGTTCTATGAAATGTTCACTTTAAGGTGTTCACAATGCTATGTTCAATTCAAATTGCTCTAATTGTAACCTTTGGTTTAACAGGGCAGCTGTATGTGATGATGTCACCACAGGAAGTTTTGACGGGTTCCAATCAAAGGACAATCGCACCTCGCACTCAGCCATACATTGCGTAAATACATCATCATTTAACAGATATGCAGCACGAAAGAATCTATTGAGAAATGATCATTTTCAGCCAAATGTAGAAAATCTGCTACATCTAAAGGTTTGAGCAAACTTCAAATCGTTATGCTCGATTGTTTTCCAGAAAGCAAGAGGCTCCTCGGGGTTCAAGAGATGAGAAACGGCGTGCCCAGCACAATGAAGGTTAGTAGTGCTCACTTTTTACTTTTGCGAATGGTTAAAGCATATTTTACTACAAACAACAGAGCAAGCCTTCAATGATACAGTAAAGTCTCTAATTCACATATTTGTCCAACAGTGGAGCGCAGGCGCAGGGACAAGATCAACAACTGGATTGTGCAGCTGTCGAAAGCCATCCCAGACTGTAACATTGACTACACCAAAACAGGACAGGTAAGTGAAGCTCAGACAAAGACCTTCTCTGGATTTCAAAAGGAGAGATTTTTAAGGCCTGTGTCCACTCAAGTCTTTCTTTCTGTCAGAAAAGAGCCGACTATTGGGGTGGGTTAGGACGTGTACATTGAGGGTAAAAAAATGCTTGTTGTGGGTTTTGTTTTAGCACAACATTTTTAGATAGCCCCCTCTGTATATGATAGTATTGGGGAAATTTGTAATTATTGTATCAGATGTTTTTGGGCCTTTTTGCCAATTATTAGATATCACAGCTAGAGAGAGGCAGAAAATGATGTTAGGAGAGAGGTGGGAATGACATGAAGCAAAGGGCTGAAGTCAGACATGAACCCACGGCCGCTGCAACACACTATAGCCTCTGCAACACACTATAGCCTCTGCACATGGGGTGCAAGACACAACCGCTAGGCCATCGGGAACCCCCATTATTTATTTTCTTTTAGCACGATCCAGAGGATGCAGTTCTTCGTGCTCAGTATGGATGATTCTATATTAATGATGTCCTTGCTGTCACTGCTCTGTCTGACAGCTGTGGAGCATGTGGGTGCATGACACAAGCTGTCATAGACAACAAGAACCTTTTATGTGATGGATCAGTTTCTAGCTGGTCTGTTTCCAGAGAATATGGATTTCTTTCTTAATAATGATTATTTTTGACTGACATATTGCACACTTTGTGACTGAGACAAAGCCTCCACAAGGTTATCATCCATTTTCCTGGTTTCAAAGAACATTTGAAAGTATTTGGGGCAGGTCAAATAACGCAGAGGGCTCTGGGAAAAAAAACATCAGCACTACATTTGTCCTCCAGGTATGCTAGTTCATACTCTCCTCATTGAGAACAAATGAAAAAAGAAGCCGGCATTCTGAAGAAAAAAAAACCTTTTGTGGACACAAGCATTTTATTCAACAAATACACAACAGTATATTTACAATTTAAATGGAAAAACAAGTTAGCAAGTTTATGAATTTGTAGGCTCTTTTGTCTCAGAGCAAAGGAGGAATCTTGTCAAAAGCCTGTGAGTACATCAAGGAACTCCGACAGAGCAACCTGAAGTTGGGGGAAGATATCAGCACTCTTGATCGTCTCAGGATTGACAACCAGCTTCTCAGACAGGAGGTATGTCTGTTTCTTACTTGTTCCTTAAACTCTAGTTTCTAGAGGTGAGGGGGGAATGATTCAGGTGTGTAATGCCATGTATCATTACACGGCTGTGTTGAACACTCAATTCTGATTGGTCACTAACAGCACTCTAAAGACTGCTGCCAAGAAGAACTGACCAGCTCAAGTGCTACACAGCTCTGATCACAGAGTCTGGAGGACTGTCTCTTATCATGTCTATTCACTGAAAGCAGTCCAGTTAATTTGATGTTGGTCCGTTGCCCTTTTCACAATGGTTCACTTCATAATAAATAAAAAGACTCAGTTCTAATGTGAGCTATAACAGCTTGACAGACTGATTTTAAAGAACAAAAAAGTTTGACATTATGTATTTCTGGATAGGGGGTAGGGTGCCATGTGTGCAGGATCTTTTAAAGTCAGGATCTTACTACTTCATTCGATAATCAGCCACATTATAACTCCAGTTGAATCCAAATCCAGTCGTTTCATTGTGTAACTTGACTTACTTAAAAGTGTTTCATCTTCATTATTACTGCTCTATCTGTGTTGCTCTTGCTAGGTGGAAGACTGGAAGTCCAAGAATCAGATCCTTAGGAACCTGCTGCGACAGCATGGCATTGTGGGATCATCCAGCACAGACCCCCAGTGAGAAGCCTGTCACCTGCGTGTATTTGAAGAAAACCACATATGGGCCAAAAGAGTACTTGAAACTTTTCGAGACACTTTGTTTGTGATCAAGTGTGCATCAAACCGGGGAAAATTGTGTCCACGATTGAATAATCAAATCCAGCTTTTTACTTATAAATTGTTTGCCTGTGGAATAAAACACACTTTTTAATATCATGATGATAACAGAGGAACTTATTAAACATCACATTTCAGTGGTCAAGCAAATGCATTCCTCCCTATTTTAAGATTGTTTGTTAACCTCCAGTTCAGAAAGCTTTAGAAAATGACCAACTTGTTTTTCTTAACCCCTTCAGTACTGTGCTTTTCTTTATCAGACGCACATATGAAGAAGAAAGAAATATTGTATTCCTGCTTTGACTTGTTTTCATCTATTGTCAGTATCATTTTCATAATATGATACCATAGACTGCATGAAAACCTATATTTATATGTAGTCAATGGTTGATACCAAGTTTTTCATCCAGTTCATATTTGCGCTCTTTTGCTTTGTATTTTGTTCGTTTCATGAAACCTGACTTGGGACGATAATTGCATTGCAACAATGTAACTAACTAATTGACAGGTGTTGGTAAGCATTGCATCTTAGGTAGGCTATGTATGTCTTTATAATAAATACATTAAAAAACGTAATTCATATACAAAAGCACGTTCAGTTGTGTTTATTAAAGTTGGCTACAAGAAATTAAAACATGCATTCACAGTTTTTATTTTTCTAGCATGACGATCAACGATTCAAACCATACACTATGTATTGGTTGTATACATTAAATGGTTTGAATGCTAGATAGTTTAAAAACAAGTAGTTATTATTCACAGTCTTGATTCAAACTCTGTAATAAGCTCCTCCCACGTCCTGTCCTGGGTTTAACAGATTGACGTCATACTGCTGCGACGGCGTGTCAGTCAAACATGGCTTCTAGGTTAGAAATAAATTTCGTCAGATTGTTGTCTCGCTGTGAATCGATAGCGTCGGAGAAACGAGGAGAAACAGAATGGAGATTAGAAAAGGTAAGTCTACAGATACTGAGTAAATGTTATGGTTCTGAGCTGTCTGTCTTTCTTTAGTGGTTAGCATGACTGTTGTTGTTGTTAGCTTGCCGCTCAGTCATTTAGCCACGTCGTCACTGAAACCAGCCACATACAGATTTATCAAGTAGGATCTTTTTATTGCTGTTCTTCTTTCCGCACATGATAAAGCTTTAACTACTTTAAAGTTGGCTTGATAATGTTTTTCTAACCCTGCTAAATTATTTCGCTGCATGAATATGTTGGTGAAACTTCCTAAAACAGCCCTGTTATCATCAATAAATGCACTGTTACATTCATTTAAATTAATTCATAATTCAATATTTCACATCAAATTTGCCCCAAAAGTACAATAGCTGTGTGATAGACGTGTCTGAGTGCAGTATGAAAGTGTACACAATTTATTTACGATCAAGCAATCTGACTGGACTAGAGGCATTTATATGTAAATTGTACATATAGTAGCCTATATCAAATTGTGTGTATATATATATATATATATATATATATATATTGTATTAAATGTATAATTGTAAACATACTGTACCAAACTGTATAGATATAAGGATTGTATAAATATATAAAATGTAAATATAGTACATCAAATTGTACAAATAGATATGGATATATAGATATATGGATTGTATAAATATATAAATTATAAAAAATCATAGTATATCAAGTTGTATATATGTATGGAAAATCTTTGGATTGTAAATATCAAATATAATATCATAAATATAGTGTAGCAAATTGTATATAGAGAGAGATTATAAGGAACACGAAGTTAATTTATGAATATGAATTATTATTATGAATTATTGAGCTGTGGAAAAGGGGTAGGATTAAATAAGTTTTATACTTCCTACTCCTTTTCAGGCATATCAATTGAATATATGTAATTTTCTTTTTCTTTTTCTTTTTTTGTGAAATAATCCGAACATTGTTTTTTGTTTATTGTATTTTCGTGCTTTTCATTTTGTTTTGTATTTTTGATATGTCTGAAATAAATTTAATCAATCAATCAGTCAATCAATTTCTAGAGTGCTGATTTATAATCACTTGGTGTGTTCACAACAATGTATAACCCCGTCCCCGCCTCAGAAAGGAGCTCTGGATACTTTTATATTACATTACAGCACACAGTGTTTGTTAGTCTTTATTAAACCATCTGATACCTCAGAATCATGCAACACACTGTGGTGTAACTAGTCCATGATAAATTTAGACCACACAATCAAGTGTTCACTGCAGAGTAGCTAGTAAGTGGTAACCATGGACACCAACTTGTTAACAAAAATGATCTTGACAGTCGTCTGTGGATTGATACTACAGTCCAGTAATGAATCCTACCTTCATTAAGTTTATAACATCCAGCTTTAAGTCAAACTGTAGCAGCATCTTTTTTTATAATGTGCTTTGTGTTGCTGTTGAATGACAAGAGGTGCTCTATATTCACTCTGTTCATTTAGAGTTGAACAGATATCACAACAACATACTACAGCCTTAACTGAACCGTCTCTTAAACAATAGAAGAAACTGAACATTGTAAGCTTGAAATACAAATAATATGCACCGCTGTGCTGGCTGCATTGGCACGCTCATCTGCAGCAGTAAAACGGAAATATGTTGTCTCTGTTTGTCTGCTGTTGTATAAATGTACAAAAACATTTGTTGGTTTGGCTAGCTGAACTTCTGATGTATAACAGCAAAATATGACATGATTATTATTTTTTTAATCAAGAGAAGGAGTTGGTTCAGGTTTTCATTGCTGGTTTTATGGCTCTTTTATTACGAGGAACTTAACAGAATAAACTCAGCTTTGCGTGGCTTCCATTCATGCCTTTTCAAAAACTGTAATATTTACTTTAAAAATGTAAGACATTATATCACGTCATCAGTGTTTGTGTTGTGCTTGCCTCTAGTATGTTGGCGCTCTGGAGGAGATGTTGGTGGCCTTGAGGAAAAGCCTGAGGTAAATGATTTTGTACATTCTTGATGTTTTTAATTTTTATTATTACTAATTTTTGACACATAAGTTGCTGTTAAAGCTTAACACTTACTGGTAAGTTTGTGTCTGGATATTGCATTTTGCTCTGTATTTTATACAGGTATATTTATTAATAATGTTAATGACAAACTGTCTTGTCAATTACAGCAAACCCACACCAGAAGTGCTGACTGAATACACAAGAAAAGTAGATTTTCTGAAAGGACTTCTGGAGGCTGACAAACTGGTCAGAAGCAACATTTTATAAAATCATCTCTTTTTTTTCCCACTGTAGTCTATAATTGATGTGTTCTTATTAAGTTGCATTTATGGCAGAGATGAAAACAAATCCATTCTCTTATTTCTATAAATAAATAAAACAAGTTTCACTAGCTTCCTATCTGAATGAAGTGAGCAAGGGCAAATCGAGAAAAAAAAAAAAAAAGCTAGCATCCTCCTCTGTAACGGCTGCAGACCGTCTCCACAGATGTGGATGAAGTGTCGTGCCGCTGAAATCCCCGGTCCGATCTAAACCCCTGGTTATATTAATATTAGTAATAATGTGAAAGTCGTATTTACAGACTTTATAAACAGATTTTTCTTTTTTTAAAGTCACACAGATGCCGAAATGTTTTCGTGATCTCTGGAAAGTTTGTATGTGACATCTTTTATGAATACTGCACCACAGTTACCACCAGCTCTCAGCAGATGTTTTTTTTTTTAGCTTCACTCTAACTCAGTGATACTCAACCCGAGGCTCTCGAGCCACATGTGGCTCATTTGGGACTAGTTGTGGCTCTTTTAGGTCCTACTTGGGAAAAGAGATTCCAAAGTAATTATTTAAAAAAGGGAAACATTGTCAGCAGAAATGATTCTTTGCAAGTCATGGCCCTGTGTTTCCCACACATATTTTAGGAAAGAAAGAGGTTTTTTGATTGTTGCTCTTATATTTTTTGGTCAATGTGGCTCTTAAGTCCAACAAGGCTGAGTACCGCTGCTCTAACTGTACATGGCTAATAATGTCGCCGTTTGCTTTTTAGTAGTTTGGTTTTGCTATTCAGATGCTTTTTGCAATGAGGATTTTTTTCCCATAGAAATTGGGACAGTTTTCTCTAAATGACTGCGTGATATTTAAATACGCCCTACCAGCACCGGTGCACAATTAGGGTGCATTCAACCCCCTGCGTGGAATTTGTGAATTACAGGTTGTCTTTTTGATTCATTTGCACAGGTGTAGTGGGCGCAAATGTAGCACAATCCTTTTGTGAATCAGGCCCTCAGTTTTCATTTAGAATTTCATTTTTTTGTCCTTTGAGTTTTTCTTCTGATCTCACAGTTTTCCTGACTTTTATCTCTCCTGTTTTTGTTCCCAGTCTTCACCAACAGAAAAGGCCTTAGCTAATCAGTTCCTCGCCCCTGGGCGAACACCCACTATAGCCAATGAGAGGATGCCTGCCACTAAAACTGTCCACATGCAGACCAAGGCCCGGTGTACGGGAGAGATGAGGAATGAACTGCTTGGCACAGTAAGATGATACTAGCAGAAAAAGTAGAGAGAGAAAAATAATGGAACCCCCCCCCTCTTTAAGTCCCTTTTCTCACTTTTCTCTCTCTTTGGTGTCATTGCAGGGGCTGACTGGCAAAGGTAAGAAATGTTTCAGCATTTAAAGTTGTCTTAAATTTCGTAATTTAACGCAAAGGTGATCCCCTATATTCACACAAGATAGTCTGCTGAGTAATTAATTCTTCCCTCTTCATAGGCTCATCAGAAACAGAATTAAGAAACAGAAGGTAAAGCTGCACATACAGTTTTTTTTTGCTTTTACTTTGGATGAGCGCCTTGGTTGCTCGCCTGAGGTCAAATAAAAAAGTGAATAAAGCTGTCCTGCCTCTTTCAGGTCAGGTCTTCCCTTGGATGAGCGCCAGTCTGCAGCAGAACTGGAGGCCGTCCTGCAGCATCATCACAACCTGCAGGAGAAACTTGCTGATGACATGCTCAATTTGGCAAGAAATTTGAAGAACAACAGTCTGGCAGCACAGAACATCATCAAACAGGACAACCAGGTAACTACCTTTATACCTCTATATCTACCGCTCCAGTTGGTGTCAGAAGTTCCTATGTGGCTTCTGATGCTTACTCTGCAGGTGAACAGAGAGAGAGAGAGAGAGAGAGAGAGAGAGACGTCCATTGTTGCGTCTCTCCTTAATTGCTATGGTTGTGATATGTCTCCTGTTTAATGTGAGCCTTCTAATGCAGTTTTGTTCCATGCATGCAGGTTGCTGCTGATTCTGCACTCTCTTGGTTTAGCTATGTCATCATTAACAGTTGTCCCTACACTGAGCTCACCTGTTCTCATGTTGTGTTGTTTGGGAAACTTTGAAATATGTAATGCTGATGAAGACTGTCAAAGGAGTAGACACATACAAGAGGAACACAGGGAAGCAATGATGTCAGCGAGGTCCGGACCTCGTTTTTTTATCATTTTATAGTCACAGTTTAACTAGTGTAATAATATATTTATTCCGGTGCATGTTGATTGAATTGATCTGAGTTTATTTCTGTCTTCTCAAATTATTTCTAGTCCTGCTGAGGTCTCAGCTGATTCTTTCAACAAGTGGGCAATATA